CCAAATTTTTCGCAAGAGCAAAATTACACATAACATGTTTAAAATAAAGTAATGTTTATTATTAGTAGGAAATGAGTAGTCCACTTGCAAACAGCGTTATGTGATTTTATTATAGAAAGCCATAAATTTGAAAAAGCGACTACGACAACAAGTAACATTTAAATTGAATCTTTTTTATTATTACCTGCAAATTTGGAGCCTTTTAAAATTGTAACATAACATGTCATAAGATAACATTAACAGTCTATACGACCTAAAGCAGCTTTCTAAGTTCATCAGAAGATTGATACTTTTGAAAGTTCATAAATAAGTATGATAGCGACTTTTGGAAGAAGACGTTTTTTTTTCAGAATATAAAAAGATCTGTTGTTAGTGGACATGAAACTACTTTAAATACTGGTACGTAATCCGCCAAAAACTATGAATCGAAAAAATTTTACATAGCGCACTTTGCAAGTAGACTACTCAAATGTATTTGTAGTTTGAAAATTTTTGAAATTTTAAACATTCTATATATGTGTATTTATGTGTATATTTTAAAGATCTCAAATACTGAACATCTTATACGTATATTTATACAGATTCTTGTTGAAAAATAGATACTTTTCAGTAGTAGTTTTACATGCTCTTTTTAGAGTGTACTTGCTATTTATTATATTTACTTTGCAAAATACTTATGCACAAAAAATGTACTTTATAAATTAAAATTACAAATGTTTCATTTTATGCACATGTTTTCCAAGTCCTTAAGATGGGTTAAATTATTTCTTTTTCATGAAAATGTTTGGTTTTCTTACAAATTATGAGATGTATATGTAAAAAAGAAAATTGGATACATTTGGATACATTTTTGGCTTGGTCAGGGATACATTTTCTTGAGACGGCGCGGCAACACTGACTACAATACATAAAGTTAATACAGATCATGATTTTGATTGGGAACAGGTCAAAATTTTGGATAGGGAGAAGCATTGGAACAAACTTAATATTTCTGAGATGATTCACATAAAGGGTACGGAAAATTTGAACCCTATTTATAATAAACTCCTTACACAACATAAGTTTACGTATTAGGCGCACAGAAAAAGATTGCGCAAAAAACGGCACAGCTGTTTACTTTTCTCTTTGTGCTGTATAGTTGGTGTTTTTTTGCATTGCTGAACTATGATACATATTTGTATGTATGAATATGCATGCTTGCATTCTTAATTGTTGATATATCACGGTTGACGCTCTAGTTAGGGACAGAGATAGTATACACACTTATTGTTGTTGTTGTTTTGCTGCCCATGACTAGTCTAATGTGCCTTTGATTGGCGATTAGTTTAATCTTTCTGTTTTTTATGTTTGATGCTTCTCTCGCTTCATATATACCTACGGTGACCATCCGTCCTGTATTATACGGGACAGTCCTCTTTTTGGCCCATTGTCCTGGTAATTTATTTATTTTATACGGGACGCAAAATGTTCTGTATTTCTTTTAATGTCCTGTATATGTCCCGTATTCGGTGTTTCGGCGCCTCAACAGGTCATTAAAATGGCATGCCTATGAACGAGTTTCAAATAATGTTGCTATATGATAACACTGTCAACAAAAAAAAAAAAATTGCCAAAAATTAGTGGTAAGTCTTAACGACCTAAATTTAATGAATTTTTTAAACAAATTTTACGGGGTAAAAATCTCGAGAAAACTATCCTACAAATTTATGATATTACTAAAAGGATGCTGTTTCAGGGCTAATACATCTAGTATCATTGAATAAGGCTTTAAGATCTGTAAGCTGTTGTGGAAAAAATTTGAAAAATTATATTTTGTCCCGTATTCGGCTCTCATAAATATGGTCACCGTATATATACCTGCTCGTCTTGTTGTAATGAATAGAACTTATATAATTTTGACATTTGAGTCAATAATTCGCTCGCTGTTCGTTAGAATAATTTCAATTTTCTAAATTTATTATGCCGGAAGATTTGCAATTATTACGTGCTACTCCCATAAGAAGTATGCCTTTTGCTTTTTGTGTGTTTTATTTAAAAAGAATATTGTGTGTAAAAATTTGTATTAATTGTTTTTATAGACAGGGTAAACATACCGCCAAATTGACCAAGTTGCTGATACATATATGTGTGTATAATAAGATGGACAATCCATGGTGCCGCAGTTCAATTTGCGTTAAACACACATATATATATTAGCACAGATTTTTGTAAGTACTCTATGGCTGATAAATATTAGTGTTATGATTATGTGACTAATTTTTTACCTGTTTTTAGTATAATTCTGATGAGGGTGCAATATTAGCACCGAAAGCTAAATAAATTAATTGACATAATACTTTTCAATTGGCTCGTAGATATCGTCTTTGGTTTTCATCTTCAAGTATTGAAAATTTTCTTTTAAAGCTTTATCCTTGAATATCCTTGAAATTTTCCAATATTTATTTAAAAAAAAATAATATATGTCAAGGACTAATATGTTAACTACCACATCCTCGAATTTCGTCCTTCTAACTTTAATACTTAAGATAAAAAAAAGTGTACACTTCTTTTTATAAGATATCGATAGTTACAATATACATAAATGACCATGCATGCGCTCTAAAAGAACAAACTGACCGTATGATGTACGGTTTAAATTCTTTAATTGTTTTTTGTATACAAGGGCGTAGCCAGCCTTTCACCTAGGGGGCGGCGTAGAGGGATAAAATTATTTTTAACTAACTTTTTTTTTTGTTTATAAATAGAAACTTCTGAGTTTAAGAAAGTATAAGTTTTCTGGTATCCTTTACAATGATACCAATTTCTTAAAAAACGGGTAGTAATTTTTTCGTATTTTTTTTTTTGTAAAGGTATTTTTTCCTTTTAAGTGTTTTTTCTCAAAAGTTTATATACGAAGTATACAAATACGCATATCAGAAGGGAGTTTAATCACGTTTACAACGATATCAATTTTTTAAAAATCAGATCAAAATTTTTTAAATATAAGGTTTTTAATTAAAAATTAGAACAAAAGGCGCACTACATCTATATTTTTAGTTGTTTAGTTGTTTACTAGGGATGTTGCGAACGTGGAATTTTAGACATCCGCGGATGCGAATGCGAATGCGATGTCAAGTATTTTAAAGAAATAACTTGGGTGAGTAAATTAAATAGGTGATTTAGGTAAATAAAAAATGAACAGTTGATCATTTTTAATAATTTTTTTTTATTTATTACTTGAATTTATAAAATGGAACATTGTATTTAATAAAAAGTAATTTTTCTGGCTTTTCGGGTTCCAACATGTTTCTTAAAGGGTCGTAAGGCGACAAACTTGAATCAGTTGAAACTTGACAAAATTTTAAATTATTTTCGATTGACACTGCACCAGTTGAGAAGACTTTCAGTTATATTTATTTTTTTATTGTGGTACAATAATTCATTTTTGAGAATTGCATCGAGACTGCAAATGTCGGATGTATCCTCCTGACTTTCATCTTCACAATCTTTTCCAAAAATTTCTTCATTATCATTCTTTTGGTTGTTCAGAATTTGGAACGCCATTAACGGTTTTCGATTTTAGTTTTTGTAATTCGTTTTTAATCCTTTCTTCTGGGACTGTTTTGAAAAATTTCAGCTTAGGTTTCAAATAGGCCGATGTGGCAAATAAGTTGTTATGTTCTAGGAATGAAAATTTCTGTTCTTGTTATATTGTTAAAATGGCACCCGTTTTTTATAATAATTTGAATTATTGGATTCAAGGACAATGAAGGTCTCAGATCTGCTTAGTTCCCGGGTGACTTCTTGAAAAGATTCACCTGTAATGAATAGCTTGTAATTCGATATTTAATTAGATGAGTTCAACTTTTTCTAGTTGCAGGCAGTCACAATTGATTACTCACCGCTAGCGATTCATCCAGTTTTTTTAACAGACCTTTGGCAAATAATATTCGATAGTTACATAATTCTTACCTAATTACATGCTAACTTTTAACGCAGCATGCCTATTTGACTTTAAATTACAAAAGAAGGCGGACGTAGGGGGACAGTTTTAACGTAGCATCTCCAAGGCCAAAAAATACTGGCTACAATTTGTCATTTTGTTTGCCAAATATACATTTTATCAGTGCACTTGCACAATATTCGCATTCGCAAAAGCTCCGCATTGATTATTGCGAATGCGAAAGCGAATGCGAATGGAAAAAATAATGCGGAAGCTACGCGATTGTGAATGCGAATGCGAATAAGAAGTGTTTTTTTATCTAAAACTAATAAAGTTAGAAGGACGAAATCCGAGGAAGTGGTAGTTAACTTATTAGTCCTTGACATATATTTTTTTCAAAAATAAATATTGGGAATTTACAAGGATATTCAAGGATAATATTTTAAAAGGACATTTTAAACACTTATTAGTCCTGGAGAATCAAAATATTAAATTTTTTTTCAATTCTACAGAATGTTCCCTTTTAATTGATACCCATATTGTCATTCTACAATGCACCGAATCTTTTGATCAATTTTTTTATTAAATCATATTCTAGAAATTTCAAAGTCCTTTTAAAAAAAATCCTGACGTCAGAGAGAAAAACTAAGAAGGTAGTTTTACTATATTTGGCCCCCAGTTTTGTGAATATATTGATTTTTTCGTGTTTTAAAAATTTTTGGTTTTGGTCGCACGGTGTAATATACCATACGCCACAGCTTCATGTGCACAGAAAAATCACTATCACAGCACAGAAAAATCACTATCATAGCACAGCAAAGCACTATCACAGCAAATCGAAAGCAATAACTAATTTTCAATAAACTGCCAATAAAAAAGCAAAAATATAATTTTCAAAGTCCCAGTAAAGCAAAGCAGTTCGAATGAAAATCAAAAATTTCAAAGCGAAGAAAAAGCAAAGATAGTAGTGCTGTTGCTGTTGTGCTGACAGTTTTTCAAACCCTGGTTTGGAGTGATAGCATGATTATTGTACACATAATACGATAAATACATAGTGCGTAACTTTATAAATACTCACGATTTGTTCCAGATTTTTAGTTTTTGAGTGACACAAAGTCACTGTGGCATTTTCCCACTTCAACAGCTGTGAGACTGGTGTACCCACAATTTTACTTCTACCTATAACAACAGCTTGTGCCCCACAAATTTGGACGCCCGTACGCTTGATTAGCTCAACGCAGCCCCCGGGTGTGCAAGGCAGATACCCATTCGTGTCACCGATGGAGACGCGGCCTTCATTAACGGTATGAAGACCATCGACATCTTTGTCCGGACAGACCGCGTCAGTGATCTTGTGGGAATCCATTTTACTTTCTGAATCAAGCGGCATTTGCACTATAATTCCATGAACTTTAGGATCATAGTTAAGTTCTGTTATCTATAGCAAGACAGGAAAAAGTAATCAAAACGTAGAATTTGCCAAATTAATATGAAATATGTACATTAGACTGCATCACTCCCCATACAAACAAAAGCTGTACTATTTTTCCATTGAAATTATAAAAGCTATTATATTTTAAGACGTCCACCAGAATATTTTGGAAAAATATTAAGATTTAAGTGAGCTGGACCGATTTGAAAATACCTCTAAAAATTGAGTTTTTATGAATAAAAATAGTTTCTTAAAGAGTTTTTTTGAAAAAATCCCCGCAAATGACAAAATGGATTAAGCTTACAAAATTTGCATAAAGATATTTAAAAAAATGTTTGAACGGAATCGTAATGATGAGATTTTTGATGCTGTTTTTTAACTTTTTTCAAAGATTGATATAAGAAAAACTTGAATAACTGAACCTAAACTCTTCCGATTTAGACTTAAGAGGTGTAATTTTTTTTATTTTTATGCTAATAAACTCATTCAAAGGATGAAAGAGAAAGGTAGAATGAACGAATATCTTTCAAAGTTGAATTAAGATGTGTTGGTGTTTGACCAAAAAAAAGGGACACGAATGACTTCTTTTTGGACAGAAACATAATAAAAACAGTGTAAAAATACCTTTCTACTGAGATCCGTTAAGTCTAAATCAGAAAAGTGTTTGCCCAGTTATTCAAGTTTTTCGTAAATCAATCCTTGAAAAAAGTAAAAAAAAAAAAAAGCATCAAAAATCTCATTCTTACGATTCCGTTGAAAAGATTTTTAAATATTCTTATGCAGATGTTTTAAGCTTAATCTGTTTTGTCATCTGAGGGGACCTTGTTCAAAAAGTTCTTTAGGAAACTATTTTTATTCATAAAAAACTCCATTTCTGGATGTATTTTCAAATCGATCCAGCTCACTTAAATCTTAATATTTTTCCGAAATATTTTGTTGGACGTCTTAAAATATAATAGGTTTTGTAATCCTGGCGAAAAAATCGCAACTTTTTTTGGTGATGCAGTCTAATGTACATATGTAATTTTTGCAATTTTACAACTTTTTTTCACATTTAAATTACAATTTGCAGATATTTAAATCAGATCTTATTTTATTGCATAACTCACCTTCTCAAGTAAGTCAATTTCGGTAACAGTGCGCGGAAGCTTGATAAGTTCTGCAGTAATGCCAATTTCTGCAGCTGCCTTGATTTTCATGCGAATGTAAACGTTGGAGTCCTCACGCCCACCCACTTGCAAAATCCGCAAGCCAGGCGTAAAAGCAGGAAGTTTAGCTTTAACATCTTTAATTTGCCGCTTCAAAGATTCGCGTACTTCACTTCAATAAAAAAAACAAATTAAGTAATGCGGAATATTGAATACATTTAGTATTTACTTTGCCAATTCAGTGCCTGATATCAGTTTAGCGTTTCCCGACATCATCAAGGAGCTAAAGTACAGATATGTATATTAATTGAGAAACTATTTTTCTGTTTTCAAAAATATATGTATTTATTTTCAAAGTTCAATCCCAACCGCACTAATCAAAAGCCAGCAGCTTAATGCATTAACATAGCTTGTGTTCAACGAATTTGTAGCCAGACCAAATCAACGCACAAACAAAATTCGGCTTGCACTGGATTATCAAATCTAAACGATCTTCAGCGCAAATAAAAAAAATAATGTAATGTATGTATTATTTTGCTATTGCAAAGTTCTCTCTCAAATGTTTCGGCGAACTAAAAATTATGCACCTTTATCACAATCAATTGTTTTAATGTGTCCGTATGGCGAACTAATTCAAGATAGGGCTAGGGTTTGATCCCTGGTCCGTGGAACATCCAAAAAGGACTGGTTTTTGATAATCATGTGTACAGCTGCCGATAAAGCTTATAAAAACAGCTGTCTTCATTTCTGTGCCAACATCAAGAGGCTGCAAACACATGTATGATATTAGGGTGGCCCAAACTTTTTTGTGGCGGAATTCGTATAACGCGCTAGTGGTTTTAAAAGAATGAATTAAAAATCGACATATGGGAGTTTCCAGAAAAAAAATCTACCGCGTAAAAAAAATTTAAAGTCCAATATCTTACTTATTTATAAACGAATTTGCTGCTGTATACTATAATACACTGGTTATGTAAGCAAAAACATTTTTGCCACAAATGGTCTCGTTAGGTGGCGCCAGGGTCGAGATATTTTCAAAAATCGTATTTCTGCTCTGATTTGTTCCACATTTGGCACGTTTAATTGATACGTAATAAGACATAGATTTGCAAAAATGGTGGCGGTGATGTCAAAATAAAAAGTACGTTCGTCATAAAATGCATGTATTCTTCCCGTTAAAAATTCTCTCAAGAACAATGTTAACAAAACTTTTTCAATGGAAATTGTAGTAACGTAACGCCAGGTAACATCACGTCAGATAATTCAGCTGATTAAACATAAAGCAGAAAATATTTCTACATTTAAAAACTTGGAAAATTTACCTTAAACATTTCCAATATTACTACAAAAACTTTTTGTACAAATAGTCTTGCCCAATTCGCAGAGTTTTGCAATTTTGTAAGCGAAATAAAAAACCAATTCTTTTTTTTGTAACGTCACGCCAGTGCGTATGTTTACTAATATCTTTAATCAATACTACCAACAGTTGTAAATTTTTTTATATATACATACATATATATATATATTTTATATATATACATACATATAACTTCTTCTTCTCTTATTTATTGGCCCTGCAACCGCCTAACCGATTTTGGTCGAGTCCAACACAGCCCGCAAGCCAGCCGCTTCTCTTCTGACGCCAAAATGAAGCCAAGTCGTTCTCAACCTGGTCTTTCTAACTCAGAGGAGGCCTTTCTCTTTCTCTGTTACCAGCAACGCGAATACTTTCAGAGCTGGAGCGTTTCTGTATATTTGAACGACATGACCTAGCCGGCGTAGCCGCTGGATTTGAATTCGTTGTTAATGCACACAGGAGTGCAGCCGTAAGGACTACGATTGGAGTTTTTTACTACTATTTTGTCATTAATACTCCC